CATCATTCTAAAGGCTGAAAATCGAATACTAAAAATAAAGACTTTCTTAACCAACAAAATACTGTGCTTGTCCAAAAACACTGAGCACATGCATGCACATGAAAAGAGGCAGGGAGCTTTAGGGTTTTGTTAGTTAATCTTGGCTAAACAGTTCAGTGGCTGACATCAAATTACAGACGGGATACAGATGCAGGTTTTAGGAGATGAGTTGGGGACTTAAACTACTTATTGGAATCCAAAGCTAATATCAAGTATTGCTTAAGTACCTATGGACTGTTATAAAAGTTGGGATTAAGCTCCACATTATAAATGACATTTTTAAAAAACATTTTATGCACCATAATTTGACATGTGCCAACTCACCATCCACAGTGGTCATTTTCTGTATTCTATTATCTATTTCTCAATTTCTCATTTGATTATTTGGGATTTTACACTTTAATTGCATATTAAATTGTTCTTTTTATTATAAAAAAAATAGCAGAGTTTATTATATGTTAAAGTTATACTTTAATCTATATGCAATTTTTTAAACTAAATTTCTGATTTCGTTGTTGTACATGGATACTAATATGTAGGGGCTGAGTCCAGGATGTTATGATACCTACAACGCAGACATCGACTGTCAGTGGATTGACATTACAGATGTGAAACCTGGACAATATACCCTCAAGGTTTGTGGCAGATGCCTTTGTTTTTGATTCCCACTATTTTTCTCACTATTTTTCTCCATGATGCTGTTTCTAATGATGTTGCACGTTTTACTTGTGCACAGATTAGTGTAAATCCTCACTATCAGGTTGAAGAATCTGATTATTCAAACAACATTGTGCGCTGTGATGTACGCTACACCGGAAACTATGCCTATGTTTCTGGCTGTCACATGTCGACGTAAGTATGAAAGATCAGGTGATATTTTATCTTTTATTAAAGTTTCTGTCCTCTATTTGTTCACATGCTCTTTGCGTTTCTATATTTTTCAGATATTAACACCTGTGATCGACTGATATTCTGCAAGTTCCCCTGTGAACGGATTAGGATTACCAACAGGGGTCGTCTGAAAGACATTTAAAAACATCATGTGACATACAGTCACCTTAGCATTAAAAATACCATCAGTTGTCATAGCACCAGATTACAGTGAATTCTTTTTGCTTATAGGAATTTGTTCTGTTTTAACCATTTTTTTCTGTTCCTTGTATAGCATTTTCCTGTATCTCAACACACTTAAGAAAATATATATCTGTTAAATTCAAGGGCTTAGAGAAAAGACATAATGATACCTACTCTTTAATGCTTAATCAGTATATAGCAGCTAAAAAATAAAATGTTTATCTAAAAGCATAGTGCATTTATTATACCGTATGTTGGAATACAACACCCTTTAATATAACTGCTTTTCATGTGGTTTTCGCACATTATTTTGGGGGGATATGTTCTTATACTTCTGGTTTTTCACATGTCTTATTCTATCTTTTTTTGCAAAATTGTAATAAAAATAAAATGTGTTTAAAAAAGAAGACGAAAAGAAATAACTGATAAGTTGCTCCTGTTTTGAAAAATATCCTTCAAGAAATTAGACAAGTATCCTGATTTATCTATCATCTATCTATCTATCTATC